TCTTACAGAAACAGTCCCCTGGGACCTCTGGGGCACATTTCTTTAAGCAGGGATGGGTGGGCAGGTGTTCCCAGGGCCTGATCCTGTGTGGAAATGCCTGGGGTGTGCAGGATCAGGCCCCTTAAGCCCCTCAGAGAGCAACTGCCCAGGATGACTGGACAGTGAGAGCAGTTCCAGGCTGCCCACACTCTCTGACCACAAAGCAAATAGACAGCCAATGCAATGATGCAGCACAAATTAATACTACCTTTGTCATGCCCACAATTCTTGGGCATTTGTGGCATGACAAGGAGCACAGATGTCTGTTTGTTTGGCCTTTGTGCTGCCATAATATTGTTAATGGGGGCACAAAGATGACAAAAGGCATCATCCATTTCCATCTTGCAAGAACTGGGCATATAACTCAGGTCTCCTGACTCCCAAACGTTTCAAATCATTAAGCATAGCATTACTTTTTCTCTCATTAAACATAAACCCTTCCATTGTTCTAGTACCTGGAATTATGAATTCATCAAGATAAAATGCCTTCATTAAAATATATTTAAATATATTGTAGAACTTACTACTTTCCCAAAGGGTATGCACACTTTCTTCTGTATTTGAAAACCAAAAATATTCTTTTTTAAATGAAACAGTTGTGGGTATGTCTCATACATAACTGTAGACCATCACCTGTAATAATTTAGGAAAACTGACTCCTGTCTATTATAGGGCTGGGGCCATTCTGATGTATAAGGTAACTCTTAATTTCAGGCTATTTACTACTTTCCATAGATCTTTAAGAGTGCAGTGACTACGTGTGATATTTTTGTGTTGATAAGTAGAACCAAGGAACTCCCTGCCTTAATAATTGCTGTTTTACCTACTGGACAAATTAATATAAATCTACAGTAAATTGTACATGTTTTCAAAGCTTCAATAATTGTCCCTCAGATTGATGTTTGCTCTTTCCCACTTCAAACGAGTGTTTATTCATGCAGCTGTAAATTCTGTCTTGCATGCACCTCTTAGTGCAACGTAGCCATAAAATGTATAGGTTTTGTCAGTTGTACTTTTTTGGAACAGGTTTTAGCATGCACTGCTTGATTTAAAATTTTCAGTGCACTTCAAGCACAGCATCATATACAAGCAGTATATTTTAGAGCGTTACACCAAGAGAAGGCTCAACATATTGGAAAATCAGATAGCGGATTTTAATTTTCGGGTTGAACAGTTATTTAAAACAGTGAAAATTAAGCTTGGCTTTTTTATTTCTTAAGTTTGTTTTCCTTGTAGGGCTAGGCAAATATTGATACAGAACACATTTTCCCACTTATTTCTTGACTGATTTATATTGATTGTATAGTTTTATTAATGTTCCATTTCATTTGTTTTTATTTTTGGAGTTCCTTCTAGTTACTGAAGCTTTCTATAAATGCATCATTTTATTTTTAAATGCCATCCTTACCACTACTCAGTTTCTATGAAAAATATGCAGGATGTGTCCATTTTTCCCTGGAGAACACTTTTCCTCATAAAAGTCTGTAATTCCAGTTTATGTTGCCTGTACCTATAATAATGTGAGATCTTTAGTGTCAGTAATTCAACTGGTCTCTGAGATGACATGTCATCTTGCATAGTAATACAGTGATTCAGCCACTTCCAACAAGTTACATGGAGCTAATGTTTCTTTGCTTAGCACTAAATATTTACCGGAATGCCTGACTGTGAGTCGGAGCAAAAGGAGACGGAACATGCCTGCCTCATGTAACTACCTTTAATCATAAACACCACTGTAATCATAACATTAAAATGTATAGGAAGGGGGTATAAGGCATAACAATGCTCATGTAGTATTGAAGTGATGTAGCCATGATGGTCCAGGAAATCTGTGAGAGCCAAAAGATATTGTGAATGATATCTTTTATTGGACCAACTGCATGTTTGGAATAGATTTAGACAAGTTTTTGGGTATCAGAGTACTATTCTAAGTATGTGTGATACCTGATAGCCTGTCTAAAATCTTCTCAATTATTCAGTTGGTCCAATAAAAGATTATCACCAATAAAAACTCTAGCCTCTTAATTATGAGGCATTAGCAAAATGCCTGTCGTGAAGGATGGGTGGCGGGGTGGGCGAGGATGGAGACACATGTCTGGCCCCACACCCTTCCCCACTGCTTCAGGTCCAGCCCTGCTCCCTGCCCCTGCCTCGCGGCTGCATGTTGCAACTGGCAGGAGCTGCCCATGCCCGCTCCCCATGTGGCACCCTGCAGCCGCCTCGCCACGCCCCCCTGCACTCCATGCTCCTCTATGCCATCACGAGTCCCACAACCACAGTCAGCAGGCACTGCCCGCATAGGTGGGGCATGGCTTGAGGCCTCGTGGGTGGGCCATGCGGCTGCAGAGTGCCAGACAGGAAGCAGGTGCAAGATCACTCATACCTGCCCGCGCCCGTCATACCTGCTCCCTGTGCAACACCCTGTGACCATGTGCCACACCCCCCGTGCACCACATGCCGTGCCCCCCACATGGTCACAAGCCACACCCCCACTCCACCCTACGGGGTGGCATGCCCCACTCCACACCCCAGGGCTCTCCCCACGCTACTTCCCACAGCAGGGAGCACAGCCTGGCCCCAACCGCCTCCACCTGCATGTCTGTCTGTCCATAGGCTCTGGGCGGCACGTGAGCAGTTTGGCGGGAGTCTTATGGACAGACCTATAGACAGAAGTGTCATGGTTTTTATTATATTAGAATTCTTCTAATAAAACCTGCAAGGGACTGACTCTCAAATAGGTTGCAAGGAAAAATGGAGGGTTGACAGGAAACATTTTTGAGGCAAAATAAGGCATTATGCTGTAATGCTGGCTAAAATGTTTTAAATAGTACTGATGTTGCATTCCTTCTTTGTACTAGCTTCATAGGCACTAGGATGTAAGGTAGGATAGGTCTAGGAAGTATGTGGAATTTCCTAAAACATTTACAAATAGTTCAAACCACTTTGCCCTCCAGATCTGCATAAACTAAACCTCCATCAGAATTTATCTAGTGGCACTTTTATCACTACATTAAAAAAAATTAGGGACCAGTCTGGCAATTCATATGTAAGCAACCTATATTCCTGAGAACAGTCCCATTTGACTTCAGTAGCACTACTTAGAATCAAAAGTAGGGCTAGCAGTGACCCTCAGATGTCATGTAGTCCATCCCTCGGCTAGAGGCTGGTTCCCTATCCAAACCATCCTTTACAAATCCATTGTCTAACTTATTAGCAAAACTACAGTCAACCCTGACACAACCACAAGGCATAACACGCTAGCCTGCCACACAAGGCAGTGAGACAATGATGGTAATTATCCTGCTACTGTGAAGATTGTTAAAATATGCTCGAGAGATCCAAGGAAGAGGGCCACACCCCCTACAGTCTGTACCAATGTGACTATTGGGTAACAATTCCTTCCTGACTACAAATATGGTGATTGGTTTGTCCCTGGGCTGAGGTGTAAGACTATCTAGCCAGAAATCTCTAGGTTTGAGTCTCAGTGGACACATCTACATATTCATTAATATGCTGTAGTTACTGTGCATTAAGTTTAGTACTTGATTAACTAAGTATTAAATCGATGCACAGTAATGTATGCTACTGTGCAGTAGCTCCAGTGCATGGCTATTTAGTGATGCTTGCTGTGCAGTAGCCTAATATTGATGTGCAGTAAGTAGCGTATTAGCACAGATTTTGCTCGGTATGCTACTGCGTGATATTATTAGGCTACTGCATGGTTAGCACCTCATGTAGATGCGCCCAGTGGAAGTATTGGAACACCTTAGTCAAGCTTACTTACATAATTTAGAACTTCTAAGCACGTAGAGGCCACATGCTTGTGTGCCACATTAGCAGGGACTATGCCATTGGGAGCCTGAGCCTCCAGTTCCACATGGCATGGATACCCACACCCATTGCATTACACATGCACACTCTTCCTTCTTCCCTACTGCAGCACCCTGCCCTCAACATCAAAACCAGAGGAGGAAGGGGAATCTGGAGATTCTGGCTGCTATTGCAATCAGACAATAGGGTGAATTTTGCCTTGATGGGAGCCCAGGGGTCATAACCCCTTACCGCCCCCTGGGCACCAGTTGGATAGCCCTGATTTAGAACAACTTAATGTGAGGTTTGTAGGATCCAGCCCTATAAATTCATTTTGTCTAGCATAACAGTATCCACAAAGTATGGGGCAAGATAAGAATAAATGGCTTATAAACATACCCATACTAATTGCTTTATCCTGGGCCCTGACATTAAAATAGCAAATTCTGTGGAGAGAGTATATGGTAAATGCAACTCCAAAAACTTGAAAAAGTTCATGTTTTGCAGTTTAAAGAGCAAGGAAATTTACATAAATAAAATGAATTCAAAGTCTTCTTCATAGTAAAAATCTATAACTTTTAAATACTGATAGTTATGTTGTAAATTACTTCAATTCCTTCTCCATACGTGCAAGCAGAGGGGAACCAAAACCTGTGCAGATGTGGAGGCCATTAAATCAGATGGAAGCTCCTCATAATATTTCATTTGGAAGCCAGAGCCACAGATGAGGAGAAAAATGGGAACTGGAGCAGGACTACAAGGCATACTCTACATAATTATTCTTCCCTCCTAATCCTACATGCTGCAGTGGTACAAATTACTGCAGACTGTACCAAGATGCAGCAGTGGTCTGGGAACCAGGGGTCAGAATAGAGGTAAAAGCCCTCCATGTGGATGACATTTGCCTCTGGCAGATATCTCTAGATCTATGATTTTAGCTATCCTGTTTCTAACCTTGCTTCTTTTGCTAGAGAGCATGTCCCCTCCATTCTGAAGAGGAAACATTTTTTTGGGTGCAGAACTAAAATTAAGCAAATCTGAGGAAATGACATATTGCACTTGTTAAAGTTAATATTGTGTAGTCAGTGGTCTTTTCAACCTAAGTACATTAATGACATATAGCATTATTTTATACTTTTTATTGTTTCCAGAGTGAATTACTGGAAGTCAAACGAAAGCAGGAAGAGGAAAAAAGAACAAAAGTGCATCAAAACGAACATAGAAGGTAAAATTGAGAAAACAGAACTTGCTGAAATTGCATTCCTATCTAGAAGGCTTCTTGAAATTGCAGCTGTTAGTGGTTTAGAACACTCGGCTCCCTAGCTGCTTCTACTTAGTTACTTATTACAAAGAAACATATTTTGCTCTTCATTCTGCTTCCAAAACAAGGCATTATATTCCAGGGTATATTGTATGCAAAAAATATGGTACTTTCAAGGGTCAAAGGAGGCCCAGAATTTGACTCCTGTGTCCTGGAAAGATGATCTAGTTGACAAGAGGTGGGAACCACCAACACTACTGTTCTGAAAATAATTTGGTGCTATCGAGTTGTAGCTTTTGTCTGCTTTCAGTGACCAGTCAGTTTAGGTGAAACTTTAGGAAAGTGGCTGTTGTGGGTCTCTTCTGAGCATGTGTATGAGTCCATGTTGAGGCACTTTTGGAATTTTGAGTTCCAAAATGGAGATACGTTGCCTTTAGATGTTCATAGGGTTGTGGGGTGCTGTCACACATCCACAAAGAATTGCACTTTTGGATTAGGGGACAAAACACCTTTATGTATGTGGCAGAGCACCTTTGGTGCCTGCCACTTTAAGGGCTGAGAGCAGGCAGGAGGGCAGCTGGCAGGTGAAGGCCAGCCCTGATGAGGTGGTCACATGACCGCAGGAGGACCCAGGGATTGGAGGAGAGGGCTGAGCAGCCTCCATTTTAGCTAAGGCCTTCAGGGCTGAGGCAGCAGCTGATACAAACAGCTGGGGAATGAAGACTGCCTGGCTGGAGCTGCTTGGAACATCTTGGCGGTAAGGGCAGGAGCTATGCGGATTGCAGGAGGCATCTGGTTCTGGGGCATGACTGAAAACTAAGCCCTACTGGGGAAGGATGGTCTGGTGGGACTTCCCATGGAGAGGTAGTTCTCCAGAAATGCCAGGCCAGTTGCCTCCCCAGTAAAAGGTGGACAGGGATGCCTTATAACCCCAGTTCTGCTACCCAGTGGGTAATTTTAGAGCAAGGACAGGCAATGGGGCCAGGCATGTTTGTGGATACCTGAGCCTATGGGGTATAAGACCTTGAGCCCCAGTGAGGGGGTGTAAAGTTGGTCCCAGTAAAGGGACAGAAAAGGGCTCTGGTGAGGGGGCGGGAGTGGATAGAGAGGCCCACACAGAGAAGGTTGCATGGTGGCACCTGAAGGGCTGTGTGTGTGGGGTGTAGAGTAGGGTCTGCACTGGTGGGCCTGAAGGGGCCTGTAGAGTAGGATTGTTCAGGCAACCTGAAGGGCTACATATGGGCCAACTCCCACAAGAGTGACAACATAAGCAAGTTGCCTGGAGAGGGGCTAGTGGCTGAGTTCAGCCCAATGTGAGGCATAAGGCTGGTGACCGCAGGGCCTGAAGGGTTGAGTGTGGGCTGGCCAGAGTGTGAGTAGGAAAGCCTGAAGGGTTGTGTAGAGTAGGGCCCAAGGGGGACCCAAAGGGGCTGCAAGGATCCATGGGAGGTTGAGAGTAGCCTAGTGAGGGGCAGTATGAATGAGGCCCAGTGAAAGTGGGCAGTGTGAATGAGGCCCTGTGAGAGGGGGCGGTATGCGGGGGTAGAATGCTAGAGGCCCAGCAAGGGGCCTTGTGGGGCCGGAGCTGTTACCAATGCATGATGCCATCTGCAAGGCATAGGACACAGTATAGGGAAGGTCGGAGCCGTGTGTAATGCCCTAGGCATTGGGGCATTAAATGGGCAGCCTCCCGCATTTTACATCAAGTTTATTACAACAAGTTGTGGTAGATGAGACAGGGCAGACTGCTGTAGATAGAGGGATAGGCCAACATTGAGATCTGGCCCTAAGAGGACCCCTGTCACAATGTACCTAACAAGACAATTGAAATCTGACCCTTTCTCAGTATCACGAAATATTTTCTATCATTCTATCATGACCCCTTTTGCTTGTCTTCTCTTTCTGCTGAATGGTTCCAGTCTTAATTCTGGGTCTAACAGTCTTCATTTATCTTGATATATTAACTTTTTCCCCTCCATTTATTTTTTGGCAAAAAGCAACTACCTCAACTTTCTGTCCACTCTCCACTTTCTCCCTAATAAAAAGAAATCCCATTCTTCTCCATAATAAACGTTGCATCAAATATTTTAAAAAATAACCACTTAAACATATTTTTAAAATGCTATTTCAATATCTTTGTGTCTCAGACCCAAATGCTGATGAAGAAAGATTATAAACCATAGAAGCTAATGAAGGAAAAGACCTTTTAGATCACTGATGCCATCTTCCTGCGTCCCCAGACAGAAATAATAGAACATTTGCATTTTATATCCTTTGTATAAAAAATGTCATAAACCACTCTAAAATAGGTGTAAATCATAAGCATGCCCATCAGATGTAAGCATAAATGAAAAAGCAGCTTTCAAGCTATTTAAGATGATTTGGAAGGAAAGTGCTTTTCAGATGTATAAAATAAAGGAAATGGCAGAGGAACTCTCTCTGCTGGGGTATGGAGGGTGCACGCATGTATGAAAAAGTTGATTACATTACTTGTAATGTCTCTATTGGCAACAAACTAAAATAGCTTTACAAAGGCATAGAAAATTGGCACCTTCTAGAAATTCTCCTTGTGTAAAAGGTGCTAAAAGGCCACATAAGTCGCCTAAATAGTTACAGCCAACACGGGTAATATAATTGGTGTACTGGCAGCCTAATTTTTTCTGAACCACTTTAATGCATCTCTTATAGCTTTGGAGGCTCACTTTTCAAAGTAGCCCATAAATAATTGTCACATGATTTTCAGTAAAATTGCTAGGAGTTTGTGTGGCTGAATCCCCATGCAGGGATTTGAAAATGTAGCCTACTATAGCCTATGTCATATGATTAGTCACTATGGGGTTTTAAAATAAGCAGCAAAGTTCATAGATGTTTTTAGGCAAGCAAAGCAAAAATGATCCATAGAATTCATAGAATGGTGAAGCTCATAGTCTCTGAACTATTTAGCAACCTTCTATTAATGTTCATTTTTCAATGTTTTTTAAGGGTAAATAATGCTTTTCTGGACCGACTGCAAAACCAAAATCAAGTGCGTGGCACCTACCAATCTGGATATTTTGGGAGCGTGGATCATTTTGATGGTGACAGCTGGGTAAGTTAGAAAAACATCTGTCAAAGTCCTGAAGATGAAAACAATTAGATGTTAAAAAAAGGTTGGGGGGAAGGAATTAGTAGTTTGCCTTCTTCCCAAATAGCATCCCTTTAGTATTCAGTTTGGTTTACATGATGGGCAGTCAGCCAGTGCGATTACTATCAGTTCTACAATCAGTTTTCAAGGAAAAATCCTGACAACTTCCCAAAATAAAAAAATGACAGCTGCCCTTACTGCAGAACTTGATTGCCTTGAATTCAAGACTTTATCACAGCTTTTCTAAGTTCAGAACATGAATAATTAGGTTTTAAGGGATTTTTTGAAAAGCTTTGAATGAAAGATGTTTGAAAATCCTGTAAACATTTTAATACATTCTTGATGGGGGGTGGGGGGAAAAAGCACACCAGAGATACAGCTGTTCATTTATTCCACATAAACTTGAAACAAGAAAGAGGCCTAGTGTGTTCAATTTAAATTACGAAACATTTTCTTTAAAGAGTTTTTTTTTTAAAGAAAAATCATGGAACTTGACTGTACTCTATTAAACTTATAATATTAAATATCAGACTTTGTTCAAGATTAATTAAGACATTAATGTTCTTCAGTTCTAGATAATGGCATCTTTAAGTGATCCAAAAATATTTATAGGAATTCCACGACAGAAATTTCCATTGTGGAAAAAGGCAACTGCTAAAAGGATAATACTGCAGAAGTGGCAATCTAGCAGAGGGATTTAACATTTCAGAAAGGCACACAAGAGTAAATGGATCGGCATTTTGGGGAAAAATATCACTAGCTCCACCAATAATATATAAGCTTTTTTAACAATTTTGATGTGTTTTTAGATTTTTTGCCTTCTGATTAGTCTGCTTCAAGCATCTATGTCTTTTGACTCTTTAAAGGCTTGTACATGTTTAACTCTGTGCAAGGGTAGACCCACTGGCAGCACTGGAATGGATGGCCCATGTGTATAGATAATTGTGTGTATGTCTTTGCAATACTAGGATTGCAGCATGCAATCCTTCCCCCCACAAAAATTGTTGGTGTTAAAATAGGATTTAGAGGTCTTGAGAATGACAAGGCCATGAGTAGGAAGAAAAATCACTATCCCCATTTTACAGCTTGTGGCAGGGGCACACAGTGACTTTCCTCAGCATCCCCCAGGAATCCATGATAGAGATAGGACCTGAAACAAATGTCCTGCGCTCTAGTTCAAGGTCTTAATCCCAAGATTATCATTATACCTAGTCAGTGAGAATTTTGGTATTGACTTCAATGAAGCAGGACTTTGTTTTGAAAGGTAGTTACCATTTGTCATATTCTACCTCCTTATGTTACCCAAGCTAGAGTAGTTTGAATCAGACTTCCATTTAATTCTGTATTATTGTTGCATGCAGCCACTGTATTTATCCTCTCCTTTACAAAAACAATTACATCAAAGCCACAATATAAAGAAATAGTAACAAACCTATTTAAGTAAAACCCCAGGGTAAAAATTGCTTTCTAAGAAAAAAAGGAATATTTTTGTTCCAATGTACAGGGTGTTTATAAAGCCCTTGTGCAACTTTAAACTTTAATAACTTTCAATGTACACATGATAGAAGTTGTAAATAGTGATTGAAAGCAAAATTCATTAAGTTTTAACACAATACAGCTGAAATTTCTAGATTTCAACATAACCACCATCTTTTGTGATACATCATTCAATTGGATTTTCCAACCTGTAGAAAACATTTTCCAGTTGCTTCTGAGTGATTTCATGAATTGCATTTGTGATCCTTACCCTATGCATAGCTTACACTATGCTAAAAAACTTAATAAATTATGCTTTCAATCACCGTTTACAGTTTGCTACTATCTTGGGTATATCCAAAGTTATTACAGTTTAAAGTTGCACAAGGACTTTATAAACACGAGGACTTTATAAGTTGCACAAGGACTTTATAAAAGTAACATATAGGTGGAAGAAAAGGCTGCATAGACAAATATCAAGAAAAAGGGATATATAAAATGATACCTCACGGGAAGGAATTAAAACTGCCAGATTTGTAAGATAGTTCAATAGCAAGAGTAAGAAAGATGTCTTGCAACAGCCTCTAGGACAAGAGAGAACAACTTCTGCAACATTAAAACCCAAAGGCATAAGCATATGCTCACACTTGCACACCTGTAAAAGTTCCATTAAAGCTGATGGGATTGCTACTCACAGCTCACATGCTTAAATCTTTGTAGGGCAGAGCTTCAGATGAAGTCCTTGAGGGAGGGTTCAGGCCCTGCTAGAAATTTCTCTAGAGCGGGAGTTTCTAACCTGTACATTGTTAGTAATTAGTAAAGTTACAAGCAAGGCTTAGTGTCTGAACAGTACAGTTTGAAAAAACAGCATGAGTTTCAAGGTGTTGAGATGTGGGGAGGCAAAAAAGCAATGAAACAGGTCCAGGAAAACAAGGCTGACACAACTCTGTCAAACTCAAATTTGACTTAAAATAAGTATAGAGAGAAAATCTTCAGTGACTTGCTGGGCTGTCATGGATCTCTCTTGATATTCTATCAACCATTATTGCCTGAGGGAGTTCATCCCTTCTTTGGGTATTGCTATCTTCTTGCTGCCAGAAATGACAGATGTCGAGGGCTCAAATGTTTCTAATGTGCAAATATTTTGTCCTTGGATGGATTCAGTTGACACCCTAAAACTAGGCGTTTTAGCAAAAGGAACTAGAGGTGGCTGAGGATACTCCCATGTAAGTTTTTAACCCTTTTACAAGATATCAACTAATAAAACTGCCTGGATGCAATCTAGGGGCATGTCCAGACAAGCAGGAACATACATTTCCCTGGGAACAAACAGCAGTGGTAGATAGTTATGCCATTGCTACTTGTCTCCAGGCATGCCCCTGCATACGCGCTCTGGTGCACAGCAAATTGCCTGGGGTAGGGTAGGAGAGGCTGGGGCCAGCATCTGCAGTGGCGGCAATCCGAGCGCACAGAACCTGGTAGGCAGCCAGAGCATGGGTCTGGTTGGCCAGGCTCTGGTTTCAGGCTGCGTATGCTGCAGCCATGTGCACTGCCCTGCTTTTTTCTGCCCCATTATTTTTATATGCCAGGATTTCCTTTTCATGTATGTCCCCTAGGGGTGTGTCCCGATGAGCAAAAATGTATGCTTTATGGCACGTTTTGAGGCTTTTGAGGCATGGCAAAACGCATGCAATGCACATGGAAAGGTTCTCCATGCTGCATATTTGCAGTGTGGAGCCAAAATGAAATACTGGGAAATCCCGGTATCTAAAAAAAAAAGGGGGCAAAAAAAAGTGGGGTGGCACACGCTGCACTGTGTACCACCCAAAACTGGATTCTGGCCAGCCAGAGCCATGCTTGCAGCCATGCTCTGGCTGCTAGTTAAGCTCCATGCACCTGGATCACTGCTGCTGCAGCCCCAGAAGGCACCCAGGACTCTAGATAAGGCTGCTGGGGCAAGCCCAGGTGCTGGACCTAGCCTCCCCACTCCACCCGGGGCAACTTGCCATGCACCAGAGTGCATGTGCAGGGGCAGCATAACTACATGCCACTGCTATTTGTCCCCAAGGAAATTCACATTCCCACTTGGCTAGGATCTTTAAAGAGTAGGAGGAAGCTGAGCAATAGGTAAAGGATTAGAAACTGTATAAGGCCTGCTGTTAGGAGTGGTTATCTCTCTCTTTGGCTGCCTGGTACTTGCCCATCTAAGTTAGAAACTTGTTAGCATGCAGTGGGAGCTCTGAACCAGAGTCCTGAGACAAGGACCTTATGAACTGTTTTTTAATCCTGATTCTTCTTTGCAACATTATTAAAGAGGAAACACCACTGTGTGTGTTGGATTTTACGTGCTTGAATCCTTGATGTATACCATATTCTTTTCTCCTCAAGTTACCTAAATTGAACACTGGTATACTACCCATATCTTTGGTGTGTTTTTAAAGATAAAGTATAAATATTTCTAAAAATGGAGTTTACTATAAGTGTGTTCATGAAGTGTCAATATTCCTTTTGGGGAGGACAGCAGGGGAGTTGGGGTGGTTATTTTGGTTTGGTTGTGGGTGTGGGGTTTTTTGTGTCTGTTGGTTATGCTATATGGGTGTTGTGGTTTGGGAAAATCAATAACTTCCCCTTTTGTCTCTGCAAGCTACTTTACCTTTGGAACATGGTTCATCATGGGCTGATGGGGAAACCTTATTGGAGCCCCTTATCAAAACACTGGCAGCACATCACTGTTAATTAATTATTCTGGAAAAATGGAAAGATGTCACCTTGGTATTATTAAAAACTTCATAGGGTATAAAATCCCAAGGGTGAATTGTGCTTTACAATAGATGGAGCTTCTCTCAACTATAATGGCACAAATAGTTCATCAAAAGGGTGTAATCAACTTCAGTTTAATAATTACTTCTGTCTTTGTGAAAGAACATCCATGGATATTTTGCATACTTGTATGTATACTTCCAGATGAAATGTCCCTGTACTTAAACAACTGAGGCACTCTTGAGGCCTAGTACAAATGCACAGCAATTCTTTAGGGTTCTTATTTTTGTGTGGAAATTCAGCACCATCAAAGTGCCTTTCCTCTGTTTCATTAATGGAGAACATGGCAAACTGCTGAAATTTATGTGTAGAGTCTTCCCTAATGAAATATTAGTTGTCTTGTTGAAACCCCCTGAGCTATAATAAACTTGGGACCTAGAAAGCAATGTGACACATTATATTCTCCGGCTTCGTGTCTCCATTACATTCTGTGTCATGCATAAGAGTAAGGAATGTTCTTTTGAATGCTGACTCTACTGTTTTGGGTGATGCATAATTTTAATATAGATGTTTAGAAGAGGGAAATAGCTTATACAATGAATGCACAGGTGCATTGAGACAGGAAACTACATTCTGTTTTCTTTCCATATATAGAACAAGAATGTGATGGAAATGAAACTATTCCTAAAAGAATCAAATTGATAATTTCAACATAGTTTTGTAGCATGTTGCATTGGAATAATTCCTCTAGACATTTATTCAATGATGAGACTGTGCTATTTTACTACTGATTTTTCAAGAGATTCAATATGCCATAAAGTTTACTGTTGCATAGCAAAGAAAAATCATGATTGGTCAAGGAACTGTACACAGTTAGGAGACTGTGCACAGGTGTGTGGCAAATTACCCCGGCAGACTTACTTGGATTCCTGGGTGCCTCCTGGAGCTGCAGCATCAGCAGTCTGGGCACACAGAGCCTGGCTAGGAGCTGGAGTATGGCTCTGGCCAGCCAGGTTCTGGTTTCAGGTGGCACACACTGCAGCCACATGCACTGCCCTGCTATTTTTGGTGAGTTTTTAGATACCGGGATTTCCCAGCATCTAATTTTGCCACCGTGCTGCAAATATGCAGTACAGTGAACAGATTAACATGCGCTGCATGCATTTTGTGGCGCCTCAAAAGGCTTTGAGGCACCGA